GTGACTATCCTAACTTGCGGACAACAGTTAGGATAGGCGGGAAATATTTAGAAATAATTATAGTAAATAAGAATATATCTTAGGGAAATATTTTATTTAGAATATTCATATTTTATTCTAGGGAAATATTTTATTCTAGGGAAAATTTTTATTTAGAACAATATGCATATTTTATTCTAGGGAAATATGTTATTCTAGCGCGAAATATTTTATTTAGGAAAGGAAAGAATTGTATAAATAAGGGAAGGAGAGACTTAGGATTAAAAGGCTATGCTTTTGATTATTGAGTTTGCCTGACAGACATTATTTCTTGTGAGGGAGAGTTATTGCCTCCCAAATAATTGATGGAGGTTATGCCTCCCAATTATATGTTTACTTTTGGTTATTCAGAATTACCATCAATAAAATGATATTATTCGCTTCAATTCAATTCCATTCTTTCATTTTTTTGCTTACTTTTGAGTTTGTTTTGACGGTAGGACGGAGTTGTTCTGATTACGTTTCCTACCGCGAATACGCTAACCTCGGTAACTATATTTATAATGAAGAATGATACAAGTATATATGGTAACGAAACATAAATATGGTAAATGGAAGATATTGTTACAAACAATATCTACCTACCAATATCAAATAATATCAAATGTCTATATTTTCCTAATTAACATAAAACACAATATATCTTACAAACTTCATAGTTCACAATAAACTCAAGTCTTATAATTATGGAACGATGTAAAAAATTGTGGCCCAACCTTAATGTCAGTTTTGTAACACTTAGAAATGAGCAATGGAGTGTTCAGTAAATGAGATCGATTTAAACATTATATTGGAAATACATCTATTAGTTTTTCACCCCCAGTTTGAAGGGGAGCTGACTCTTTGTGAGGGAGGAAGGCAGAGGGTGAAATTGAAAAGTTTCTTTTGCGTTAAGAGACGGAGGAGCAATCAAACATTGGTTATCCTACATTGCTTTCTCATTGCCTAGAATTAAATTTGATATTGTGACTATCAAGAAGCACCCATGTGGGATAATTCTATGATTCTTGTCGACTTAATTTCAAGGTCTGTAGTCATTGTAGTCGGGATTTCAGTTTCAGGTTGTAAATCACAAGTTCAGTTGATATATGATTTCTTATTTGAGACGTCTATTTTATTTTGTCAAGTTCTAAGATTTTTTTTCACATAACTTCTCTCTTTTTGTTTGGGTTTTTTAACTTTGAAATTCAAATTGCTTTATCAGTGGATAGAACTATCTTCTGAACCTAACAAAGAAGCAGTAATTAAAGCGCTGCTTAGTGCAAAAGATGCCATGCTGATGATTAGATATCATATGCGCCTGATGGGTGAGTCTGCAGGCGTTCCGGTAAGTTCATTTAACCATAGCACTTATTTTTATTGTTCTCTGTTCGTATGATGCTGATCTATATCATACATATACGTTTCTCGATTGAAAATTAATGATTTTGATTTATCCATACCTCTTTAGATCCAGATCTCTTATCTTCCTATCAGTAAGAATGATCATACATCTAATTTTCACAATTTACTTGCAAATAATATAGGCCATCCCAATGATTCACACGGAAGTATGACAGTTGGATTTAATTCCACTGTGGTCAGTCTACTTGCTATCTGTGCATTCCATAGCATGCATGGCTATGATACACATACACTGTCAATCAAGAACTGAAAAAAGTCCCATATCAAGATTTCTTTCACTCCCAAATGATTACTTTATTCGTGTTGGGTTAGAAAGTACAATTCACTACCTATATCATAAATGGTTACTTTTGAGATTGTTCATAGCATGTTTCTAGAGCCTATATGACCAAGTGGTCTAGAGTTAAATCCTCAGCACCTTCATCCGTTTAAAAATTTGAATTGCAACACAAGGTTGGTGGGTTGTGCACTGTCCACAGTTCAAACCTAAAGAGCTCTTCGTTGAAGGGGCACGTTAGACATGTTAAAAGAAGATCATTTCTGTAACATAAAACAAAAAATAAGATAACTTTTATTAGGCTTTTCTTGTTACAGTAGCCTTCAAACCACTGCCCACCCCATTGCAAATCAACAAAAAGTCATGGATCATTTAACATCTTTCAGATTGGGGTTATATCTTTTAGTATTCAGGAGTGTCACAACTCTGGTTGAGGTAAAAATAAAAGAGTTGTTTTGTTTCAACTTGTCAATTATGAACCCCTTGAATCGATCAGGAAATTGATGTTTAATGGATTATATTAGATTTAGACTGTGTTTATTGAGCATAATTACTATATTTCCTTCAACTATTCAATTATTGTCAGAGGTTTGGTGTTAGAAACTCATTCTTCTAAGGGATTCGTTATTTTAAAAACTTATAAGTTTCGTTCCAACGTGTACAGATTGAACCAGAATCACAAACGCAACTTCTAGATGGTACATTGAACTTGGAAGGAGTACTATTGGCTGGAGTGCCAGGGGCAGGAGGATTTGATGCAGTCTTTGCTGTTTGTTTGGGCAATTCTAGCAGCAATGTGACAAAAATATGGAGTTCACATAATGTTCTTGCCTTGTTGGTTAAAGAAGATCCTTGTGGCGTTTGTTTAGAAAGTGCAGACCCCCGAACATATGAAATCACATCAGCTGTGTCTTCAATTAATATCGAATAAGTTCATTTCCATCAATTAAAGTTTGCTAATCACCACAAAATAGTTCCGTGGAGTGTGGCTTCACTAGGTATTAGTTTGCTTATTTTAAATTTCGGGGGGAAATGAGTGGACTTAAATAAGCTTGTGATGTGTTATAGTTATTTTTTAAAGTGAAAACCCCCTCCAAATTATTCTTGGTTTTATAAACGAGCTGAAGATTCGTTGAACCTAGTTTTCTTACTACAAGAACAGAAGAAAACAAAGTGTATCATCCAAATTTCCGATATATTGCATAACGTGCTTAAAACAAAGTGTACCTACTTTTCTACAACTGGTCGAGGGAATGTTATCTAAAACTCTCCTGGCAACTTTATTTTCTTTTGATCATGTCTTGTACTGCGTGTGATGTAATAGCAATATCACTGGCCAGACACGAATTAGAGCCTGAAGACCTGATGCAGCCACCTACTAATTACAACAGGTATAATTTGCAGATGAAATCAAAAACAGTAAATTACAACTCATCGAGGTTGATATATGAGATAGGCGAGAGAGATGGGAGAGTGACAAGAAAGAACAGAGAGCATAATAGAACGAGTAATGAGAGAAAATAAGACTACACAAAGAGGAGAATGTAAAAAAAAATCAATTTTTATTTTTTATTTGAAATTTTACAATTTATAATAAAATATTCTTATAAATTCTTAGAATCTCAGTTTTTTTTCAAAAAAAATTGTATCCAATCATATCATATTTCATCAAAAGTATAAATTCTCTTAAACAATAATTTTTCTCTTAGAAATTTTCATTCAAACGCTGATTAGTAAATCTACCGGAAACAGGTGGATAGTATGGATTTGAGATATACAAATTACTCCACGGACGGGTTTGTAATTTGAGATAGATATATATAGACACAATGACATTTTAGCAATTTTAGCATACAAGAAAAATAGATTATGGTACTTGCTATCAGTAGTATAAATTCAGAAGATATTGCAGAATAAGCATTTACTATACAATTTAATATGAAATAATGTTCATAAATATATGCACACCCTAACCATCACGTAAGAAGTAGGAACTCATCAAGGAATAAAGAAGGCCAACATTGCAAAGATGAGGCAAGCCAACCAAGTTCTAGCAGCTAGTAACTCATCCAAGAAAATTAACGATGAATGATTGAAAAAATTCCTCACCAGGTACGCATTTTGATACTAAATTTTCACAATAATGAATACATAGGTACTTCTCTCATACTTCATCTAGCATTAGATTCACATTTGTTGATTTAACAAGAGTGATGGTTGCTGTTTCTGCTAGTCCTCATCACTGGCAAGGAACTGGGACTCCTGTAGGAAATGGCCACAACCTTGATACAGATTATTCATCCATTGAGATTAGGATATTCACTGTCTACCCTAAAACTGCCACACTCTGCCAGAGCTTTTGCATTAAGCTCTCTACCGTATTTCCAGACATAATTGAGACCAACAAGAAGCTCGGTGATTACTTCTTCCGTCTTATCTTGATTTGCAAAGTAAAGGGTCTGTACCAGCAGCACATTTGTCCGGGAAACAAAGCTCTGCTGCTCATAACTTCTCTCAGACTGCCATCTTATCATGTTATGAGCAAGTGGTGCCAACCATTCCAGTATGCTTGACATTGCATCATTCCATTCTTCTGCTAGACTTGGGTCATAGATGGATGATGATGAAGCCATGGTCTTCGTAAATGGCTTTAACTTGGTCTTAAGGGAAGCTCTGACACGTCCCGGTAACATATTGTACAGGTCATCTCTTGCATCGAGACCAATCAAGTGTGAAGAAGCTGCTAGCTTCTCAATCACAATGATAACATTTGCATAGTGCAGTGCCAGAGCAGCAGCACCCAGTGTTTCAGGTGGAGGATTCAATAGCTTGCGGAGAGGTTTGAAGACCGATTGAGTATGATGAACTATTTTTCCAGGACAAAGAGGATTTGAATTAACATCTTTGGGATTCTGAATTCCATGATGAACACCATTTGTACTTGACTGGCAGTCAGTGAATAAGGCATTGTCCCAAGCCATACATCCTTTGAAAGGTCCTACTTGAGTCAGTCTACTGGGTCTTGTGGGAGCTTCCTTCCCACTTCCGGCAGTAGAGTGCCCATAAAACCTCCAAATCTTGTTCTTTTTATTTCTTCCAGTAACAGGTATTGATTGATTCGATTTCCTTCCAAGAGGACCTGAGTAAAAATTGACACTTGTATACTTTCCTAAAATCTGGCCTGACTTAGTGGATGAGTCACCAAGAGGACCAGAATTAGAAATATTTGCTTTATTTGTTGTTCTACCAATTGGACCTGATCTGGCGGTAATAGCATTAAGGGGTCCTGAAGAAAATCTGGCAACACTATTCTGTGATGGGTTGAAAGAAGATTGCAATAATGTGGAAACCGATTGACTTCTATAAATGAAATCTGTGTACAGGACACTTGAATTATTGGTTCCACCAACACCCACCATCTCTTGAATTCCAAATACACGGTTGATCTTACAGAATATTGTGAATAAGGACCTTGCAAAAAGAAGTATTGTGTAATCATATGTCCTGTTCCACAAAGAAATATCCTGCAAGTGCTTTACCTCCTGCCTCTTCAAAGCAACCTTCTTCTGGTACTCCATTAAAGTTACACCATCTGATTCACCATGAGCATTCACCCTAGTAAAAGTTTGCTCAAGATCAGCAAGCACTTCCATCTCTTGATACAAACTTGCATTAGTTGATATAAACTTTTCCATCCTTTTAATCTTTTTTTCCATCTTCTTGCCAGTGAATTCCCACCCATATGGATCAATACCTGTATTGATAAATTCGTAAAAGGCATTTCCAAAACCTTTTAAAATTGGTTCGCTGCATTTCTTAGCAAGCCTGGCCACAAACTCCGCAACGTGTGCCAAATTCTCAAGTGTCTCCAAACAGATTAAACGTTCAATGAAATGATCATCATCTGAGACAAGCTTTCTTATGCCCACCGAATTTGTGATTTCCTCCCTTAGTTTAACAATCTGTTTATCACTCAGAGACTGCCATAAATTAACTACCTTTGACATCAAACTTGCTATTTCAAATGCTAATACTTCAATGACCACCTTCTCAGAATTAGCATCATGCTTCCGAGGAGCTTTCCACAAACTACGAAACCATGATTCTGAAACCATTGCTTTTATTGGAAGATAAAACTGCGATCTTTAAGATAAATCCACCTCCATAACTCTGCAATGCTCAGCAAATAAAATATAAAATGAGATAGTTAAAACAGACATTAATAATCTTTTACTCATTTCAGAGAAATTTCGGCCAGTATAAAAAAAATTTCAGATACTATCTCTAAATAATACCAAAGAAGCTATTAACACCACATGTATGAAAGAAAACAAAAGAATGTGTATTGCGTTGCTACTTGACAATAATAATAAAAGAAAAAACTACACAAAATATGCATATCTTTTTCTTACCTGCTTTGTTTTATTATTCTGTCCTCACACCAGAAGAAGGAGAATAATGGGAATGAACTCAAAGTAATTCACTATGGTCTCGAGCAAACTTATTTGGTACTCTTATTTCTCCCTGCCATCAAACACTTACAGTCATGCCAAGCTATTCAAAGTGATTTAACATTAAAACCACACCACATTATCTATCTTCTTTTTATTCAGATGATTCAGGCACAAAAATATATCAGTTAGAAATTAAAAGCATTTGTTTCCTTTTTTTCTTCCCACTCTATCTTTGTCCCCCTTCACAACATATGGTTCATATTTATTCCACATAAGTATTTTAAAAGAATGGATAGATAGGGCTCAAGTAATATTCTTGATGTTTTACATGTTTTGTCAAGGTATACAATTCTAACAGATATACTAATTCCTTGCATCAAATCATCAAAAGTAGACCGGTATGAAGTGGCTCTCCCATACAAAATAATTAACATATATTCCAGTAAAAGCAAAAATAATGTTATATTCTGTTTTGTTACCCTCGTTGGTGTTTGCCCTTGCCCTTGTAATTTCTGATGGGTAGAAATGCTTCACTAAGAAGCAAGTATGGAATATAACTTCTCAATTATTTCAAGTAAATACAGCTGAAGAATATATACTGAAAAAAATACAAGACATAAACCAAAATATGGATCTTATTCCCTGTCTACTCATTCATTATATCAAGAATTAACTGACATTCAAAGCTGAAAGGGACTACATTTTTTCTGCGCGGTTTCTTATCAATTTAAAAAAAAAATAAAAAAAAAAAAAAACAAAAACTCATAATTAAACCCAAATCCTAGCAACAAACCCAGATTCCAAAACTTTATTTTTTGTTCTCCTTGATAAAAAAAATATATTTTTTGTCAACTTTTCATAACTTCACCATCTTGTATGCTTATATGGATAATAACTATAGCAGCCAGAACTCAAATCTTAACAGCATCAAGTGATAGCAGCAAAAGTGAAGAGAAATGGTGTAGAATAAGTTGGAGAAATGAGCCGGATGAAGTACAGTGGACGAATAGAGAGAGAACCAGAAACTCACCGATCACGAAAATAGAGGAACCCGTGAATCTTTGAGGAAGAGAGAGAGAGAAAGAAGATGCAGTGTTAGAAAAAAAGGTGCACATGGAATGGAAACAAAGCAGAAACTAAGATACAGAGAGAAAGCGAGTGAAACTAATGACCCCCCAAAATAAATATTTCTTTTTTCGAATTTAAATATTCAATGAAATCAATATTTCACAACTCATTCAAAATCCACCATCACATTTCTTATATAAAAAAATTAACATCTCCTTTTATTATAGAAAAAATAGTAAGTATTTCTGATGAAAGTTTCTAATATTTTATGTTTAGAATTAGTTCTAAATAATAAATTAACAAAATCATGTTTATTCAATTGATATTATTTTTTACAATATTAAGTATTTCCTTTTAATTTTTAAATTTTGATATAAAATTGAAACTAGTAGATGTTTAAAATTGTTATATTTTAACATTGAAAAAAAACTATATCAATTGTATAAATAAGTTAAATATTAATATTAAATATATTTGACACGTTAAATAATGTAATTAGATTAAAAAAATTATATAATTTTTTTCAAAAATTTAAAACTAAAATGTATCTAAATTTTAAATAGAAACAAACCTTATTTTACGTTAAAATTCAGAATTAAAAATGTATTTAAATATTTTTTATATGTTGAAAACTTAAAGTGCTTTTATGCTTATATCATTAAAAGTTTATTTCGTTTAATTAAGTTCTTTCCTTTTTCTTGAAGTTCAACTTTATGCAT